GTGGTAGGCGGAGTGGGTGAAGTGAGTGAGGACAGCCCCGTGTTTTAGGAGTGCCTCCCCTTTGGGTGGTACCGGGCAAGCAGCATTCAATGTACTTCTGAGCACCCCTCAGAAAGACACTCCAGAAAGAGGACCCCAGAGCTGCTGCAGGAAGTGAAGACGTTTTGGTGGGGGCAGTGTGAGTGTAGGTGGGTGGATTAAATGACCTCGTTTACCAACATCTGTCCCATTCAGTGAGTGTCAGACACTCAGCGAAATATTGGAAATGTGATGGTCACATGGTTACCATGACGGTCACACCGTTACCACAAAGCTCAGGAACAGGGGTTATGGCCAGAAATTTAAAAATACTTCCATAATCTGGGTTTCTGTTTCAGATGCAGTATGGCTGGAGGGATCTGCCTCAGACTGGCAGTGTGGACAGGGTTCTGGGGCACGGGGTGAACCCAGGAGAGCCCACAGGAGAATGTTTCCGTGTATGGAAGGTGTGGAGACGGCCCGCCAGCACGGGCAGAAACGGAAGTGTGAGGACGGCAGACGAGACAGAATATGTCGGAAAGGACCAGAGGGACCCGAGCAGGCAGTGGGAGAAGTCACGCGGGCTTTGTGGTCGGTCCTGAGAGTTGGGAACAGAGGCTCCGAGAAGGAACCGTTAGAAGGGCCCAGCACAGACAGGGCTGACTCTAGGGGGATAACACCTGTGTCCAAAGACAGCCCCAGGGTCTCGCGGGGCTGTGGAGGTTTTCTAGACTGAGCAGGAGTGCTTGGGGGTGCAGCCAGGGGCCTGGGGACCCCAGGGCGCTGCTGTCCTCGGCCGTACTGTTTAACAAGCCTTTCCTGGGGCTGGAGTCCCAGAGGAGCCGCGTGGCCTCCAGAGGGGGCAGCCTGGCTCAGTGAAGCTCAGGCCTCCTGCGGAGAGGACTGCTCTCCAGATGAGAAAGGGGGAGGCTCTTCCCCTGCCACAGAGCAGCCGCCTTCAACACGGGCCAGAGCTTACGGCGTCTTATTGGCCTGGAAGGGGAAATCTAACGTCTACTGCCTGTAATTCTTTCCTTTGAACTGCCTCACTGACCAGCGGGAAATGCCCATGTGTTTCCTGTTAAAGTCGGGGAGCTGTTTTGTTCGTGCCCTGACCACGTCTCTGTAAGATCTGCCGGATTTGCAGCAGTTTCCTTGGTGAGCCAGAAATTTCGTTACAATCCATGGTTTGTCGAGGTTAAGATCATTTACAGTTTTGTTAGTTCACATGTGCTGTAGGTGATGATCCCGCTCCTCGCGCGGAGCTGGTGCACTCACATGGCTTCATCCTTCCCACCCTCCCTCCCGCTCCCCCCTCTTCATCTCTTCTCCTTTGTGGAAGATCTCAGTTTCCTGACTTTGTGTGGCAGTTACCAGGCCCCGGACTAGGGGAGGGGAGGGTGTTGATGTGTGATGAAGGGTGCATTTTACAGACCTGAAAGAATTTTGAATGCTTTCACCGTAAAGAAATGATAAATGTTAGGTGGATGTGCTTAACTCACCTAAAGCATTCTACTGTGCATTCGTGTACAGAGGCATCACAGGGTACCCACTGGTACATACTGTTTTGTGTTTTTAACAGGTAAAGAGTATCTAACTTAAATTTTAAAATTAAACATAAGAAAAGGACTTTGGATTTTCTCCAAAGCAAATCTGGATGTGTTTTAATCATTTCCATTCCCCAGAGGCAGAAACAGAAGCTCACAGGGTGGAGATCTGAGTTGTCTCCACACAGAGTTGGTAGCAGCTCCTCCTGGGTTGCAGTCATCACCTTCACTGAGGCAGAGAGAGGAGGAGGAGAGAAGGAGCTGAGGGAGGCCGGCTGCTGAAAGGCTGCGCTGGCCTGGGAGAGTTGATGACGACGTGGGGCCCTCCTTAGCTTTGTGGGCTCAGAATATCGCATCTTTAAATTGCACCCCCCGAATAGTGATGCTCACAGCACCTGTGCATTTTGTCACACAGCCCGTTCACAGAGCAGTGCTCTTCTTTGTCTTTTCTTTCTGCTTCAGAATGAAGGGGATTTGTCAGCAGTACCAACACGACTAAGATTGGCCCCAGTCTCTTGCATGAATGAGGTGAGTGTGGACCCTTCCCGGGCACAAGTCAGCTGCAGACCTTACACTGCGCAGCTTGGAGAAATTGCTATAGGGAAAGTCTGCACTGAACAGATTTTAGAATTTTCCAGTATTCTTTTCTCCTGTAAAGAGCACTTACTTGTTCTATAGTCTCTAGCGGATAGCCCAGGGCATGGTGATTTGGGTGATTACGCTTTTGCTTGGGGTCCGTGCTGCCATGTGGGGGTGCTTTCCAGGGCTTCCCTTCCCTGCCTGGCCCCGTTTGCCCACTGATCCAAGAGACACCCCGGGATGAAACGCTCACCTCGGCTTGCCCCAGGCTAGGTCTCCTTAGCAGAGCAAACCTCCACAGACCTGGAGCTGCAGAGCTGGGCCTCAGGCTGGGTTCTTTGGTTGTAATTTTACCCAGTCCTGGGGGGTGTCCCTGTTGGCCCCTAGTATTTATCAGGAGCCCCTGCCACTGGCCTGTCTGCGTCCTTCCACTTCCTCTCTGTCCCCCAGGACAGAGCGTTCAAGTGCGTTTACCTGGGAAGGGAGATGACTGTCTGCAGTGTGAACTCTGAGTGTTTAAACATTAATCAGCCAGCGTGCTCCAAGTGTCGTGTGGAAAGTTCACCACTGTCACCCAGAGCGGCTGTTTCCACTGAGACGGCTCATTCCCGGAAGGCAGAGCAGGGGAGACACGCGGAAGAGAGGGCTTGGGCACAGTGGTGTCCCACAGTGCACCAACACCTGCGGCTCCCATCCCTGCGGGAACTCAGGCTGCGCCTGGCCAGGAGCTCTGGTGCACAGGCTCTGGTGTCAGATCTGCC